CCTCCCAAGCCCGCCAGTAGCCTCCGAGCAGTTGTCCGCTGAGGCGAGAGGATGAACTCATATAGCCGTAGAGTGTGGCCAAGCCTGTGCCACCCCAATCGTAGCCACGGATCCTGGTTACGTCAACCAGTGCCCTCAACAAGCAAAGGGGCACGGTGTTCGCCCGGTCGGCGAAGAGGGTGGTCCCCAGCAGGAACATCAGAAAGCCACGTGTGTACTGCTCCTTCTCCTCCCGAGTGATAGGCGCCTGGATCCTGAAGTGGTCCTCGAACCACGAGTATCGTACAAATCCTGGATGAGCAAGAGGCGGTAGGTCGCCGAGCAGGTACATCTGAGCGGCCTCCCACTTGTCTATATCTGTATAAAAGGGGATCAGTTTACTCCCTACTCCAATGCCTGTGAGCATGGAGAAGTCGAAGGGAGTCATCGTTATGTCTCCCGTGGCCGAAAGATGGAAAGAGTCGGTGGTGTCCCACTACCTCTTCACCAGAGCAGCAAGGAGAGGCCTACTCGCAGTCAGGCGTGAGAGCCCCATGCAGAAAGTGCTGAAGCCAGCCTGGTCAACGATACGGCGAACTACCTCAGGAAGCTCCATGTACCACCCCCGGGCCATGACGTTCCCATACCCCCGGAAGGCATGGGAATCCCCCTATGGTCAAAACAAACAGTTGCGAAGCAGTGTTACAAACACAGTGTTGAATACACTCCGAATCAGTGAAAATACAGCGTGTGTACACGTGTTCAGATTCAAACAGATATCGGGTGTGGGTGTGCTCGCAGTAAACTCCAGCATGTGATGCAACAGTTTGCTCAGATCATTTCAGTGAAAATACAGCGTGTGTGCACGTGTTCAGATTCAAACAGATATCGGGTGCCGGTGTGCTCACAGTGAACTAGAGCATATGAATATGTCAGTGTGTCTGAGTGGTTCAGTGGAAAATGCAGTGTGTGTGCACGTGTTCAGATTCAAACAGATATCGGAGTGAACTACAGCATATGAATATGTCAGTGTGTTTGAGTGATTCAGTGACAATGCAGCGTGTGTGCACGTGTTCAGATTCAAACGAGTACCGAGTGCGGGTATCCTTGCAGTAAACTACAACATGTGGTGTATCGGTGTATCCGGACTAAGCAATTAAAGAACAAGATCGACTATTGCAGTTGTGTTCTATATTGCAGAAAATGAAACGGGGAAGAGTATACCTCGAAAGTGCCGTAAGACAGATGCGACTCTGGCTCGCGCAGTAGAAGCTCTGGTGGTACGCCCCTAGCAAAACTCCTGAACTGGCGAAGTCCGTCAGGAGGCAACACGTGAATCGCTAGCCTGTAGGTCGCCGGGTCGAACGGTCGAATGCTCAAAGGCAAGAGCTTGGCCTCGGGGTCCATCTCCTGCTCCGGAGGAGTCCCGCCTTGTGGAAGATCGTCTGCCATGCCGAGAATGATGTGAAAATGGCTAGAAGTGTGAAAATCGGGTGAGAATGTGAAAAGTCAACCCCGGGAGGGTGAAAAATGGGTGAAAAGCTCAGAGTCCAGAAGGGGCACAAAGATCGAGGTAAACTCGAGGGAAACAAACCCCGAGTGGTGGAAAACAAGAAAAGTGTACCAAAACGGAGATTTGTTTGGTTCAAAATGTTCGAAACGCGAAGGAGTTTGCGAATCGAATGACGAAATGGGCCCCAAAACTGAGGAAAGCGAGTGTAGAAGGTTGGAAAATGACCTAGAGAGATGGGGGAAGGTTTTTCGAGCAAGAGGCAAGTGAGGAAATAGGGCTAGAAGCCCTATATTTAAAGACCAATGCCGAATTGACAAAACTGCCCCAATAAAGGCATTTTTGGCCGGTCGGCCACATTGTTGGCCAGTCGGCCAAATATTTGGCCGATGGCCTTATTTTTCGGCCGGTGGATGGCCGGTGACCTCCCCCGATGGCCGGTGAATCTCCTGCACCCTTGTTTGGGACAAATATGTGGTTTGAGGCCTCTATTGCCCAAGATAGTGTAAGGAACTGCATTTTGAAGCTTAACCGGTCTCTGTGCCATGTCTTCTGTGCGTAGCACTCAAATATGTGCAAGGTGTATCCTTTTCGTATCCTTTTGTATCTTGCAAAGGCTTGGAAACTACTTCATCATCCCTTGCATTGATATGCACTATTCATTTTGCATTGTCATGCTTCTTAGAAGACGTGCGTTGTCGCGCATTCGAGTTCACATGCATTGTTATGCATCTCAAAAGACGTGCGTTGTCGCGCATTCGAGTTCATTTGCATTGTCATTCATTTTTCAAAAGACGTGCGTTGTTGCGCATTCAAGTTCATTTGCATTGTCATGCATTTTGAAAGATGTGCGTCGTCGTGCATTTGTGTCTCATTTGCATTGTGCATTCGAGTTCACATGCATTGTTATGCATCTCAAAAGACGTGCGTTGTCGCGCATTCGAGTTCATTTGCATTGTCATTCATTTTTCAAAAGACGTGCGTTGTTGCGCATTCAAGTTCATTTGCATTGTCATGCATTTTGAAAGATGCGCTTCGTCGTGCATTTGTGTCTCATTTGCATTGTCATGCATTTCAAAAAAACAAAAAAAAGTTGTCGCGCATTTGTGTCTCATTTGCATTGTCATGCATTTCGAAAAACAAAATACAAAAAAACAAAGATGCATTGTCATGCATTTTCTTACCATGCATTATTATGCATCATTGTAAATATTGCATTTACATGCGTCATTGTAAAAATTGCATTTACATGCGTCATTGTAAATATTGCATTTACATACATACATACATTACATGCATATTGTATATATTGCATTGTAGATTGCATGCATTTGCTGCATTATCCATCTACGGCTTGCGCCTTTCCATGTTGAGCTTGGTCTGGTATGTGCCCGTACTTTTCACGTCGAAGCACGGTTATGATATTATGTGTTCGCACCTAGTGTTGTGGGTGACGGCACCGTTTCCATGTTAAACATGGCTTGTATGTGTCCATGCCTTTCCTAGGCAAGATATGTTTCGGCCACGCGCCTTATCCATTGCATCCATTGCATTTTTTTTCATTGTAAATATTGCATTGAACATAGCTTGCATTGTCATGCATCTTTCCTTACATGCATTGTAATGCATTCTTCCTTACTTTGCATTGTCATGCAAAATAAAATAAAATAAAATATTCCAGTGACCATATTTTTTTTTTTATGATGTCTTGATTTATTTTTTGAGTTATGATTGAAAATTCGTGAAGGAAAACGTTACTTTGGAACCTATCAATTCAGGACATCACCTTCACCGCCACATAATATCACCATTACATTTAACATTTACTCATAATTGAGACGAGATCCAATATTTACTCATTTCCTAGCCAGCTAATCAGCAACACAAGAATATCTTATACTCATGAATATTGGGTACAATTTTTAATAATCCTTTTAAAATCCTAGCATTGCTCTTATATGAAAAGACAAAAAAACATAACAAAAAGAACTAACTATTGGAGGGTACACAAAAATTGAATATAAATGTGATTTGATCATAGTTCTAAATATCGGTCGGTACGTACTGTACCAGCCGATTCGTACTGGAAAATTGGACTACCGATTCGGATATGGACTGGTATACTGGTGGGAATGAAATTCACAGCTGTGTCGTCCGATTCTCGATACGTATCGGCCTGAATCTGATACATGGAGCGATACAGTTCCGATACAGATTTTTCATCGCCGGTACGGATGAAATTGTGCTATGTTTTATGCTCTGTTTTTGTTTTGTTTTGTTGTTTCTGTTTCTGTTTGTTGCTCTGTTTTTGTTTTGTTTTGTTGTTTCTGTTTCTGTTTGTTGTTGTTGTTGTTGTTTGCCTTGAGTTGTTGGCTCCTATTCGAAGTCCAAAACTAGACCAACCTCTCTTGTCAACACACATCAATATTTCTTCAATTCGTTTGGATTCTTTGTATGCTGCTTTTTCTTCTTCTACTGGACTATTTACTAGTAACCAACCACTATATTCTTGGGCGGAGCTTTAACCTCTATTTATGTTTTGCATTTCAATTTTTTTTTTCTGTTTCGTAATTGCCTTTGTAAGCCACTGCTCTGCATTTTTTAGAAATAGAGAGAGAGGGAGAGAGAGAGAGAGGATAGGTTTTTTTTTTAAGCCATTATTATGTACCTTTTTAAGCCATTGTTTAGTTTTATTTTTTATTTATTTATTTGTTTATGCATCTATACCTCTGTTTATATTAATATATATATTTGTTTTTTTCTCAGTTGAGCAAGGGAAAAAAGACAAGAAAAATAAATATTGAAATCAAAATCAAGGCTAAAAGTGCTTTTGCATATCAAAATTTTGATAAAATGTGATAAATTAAGTCTGAAAGAGTCAAAAAATACATAAAATTGAGTTTTAGAGGAATTGTTAATGATTTTTAAAATTTCACAGCCTCGACATCCGATACCGATACTGATACTGCAATTTAGAACTATGGATCTGATTAGAGGGTTATTAATATCCGATCAACTTAATCTTTTGTTAAAAATATTTTAGTTAACATATTTTAAAAAGTGAACGGTTCAAATAATTGATGTGAAATCCAAAATGACCCCATTATATGCACAACAATGACTGTTATGCATGGCACACAATTGCTTTTTGCAACGATATTTCTGTTGTCCCTAAATTTGGCACCCTAAACATTTCCTATGCCGTTAAACTTTGGGCTCACAAAGAAATCATATTAACAAAGATCATCGCTTTTTATACAACTCTCATACACAAGAAAAATTTACATGGAGCACACGAATTAATAGACTTATGCCATACATGCAAAACGCTTGCACCATCGTAAAAATAAAATTATTTTTTCACTGCTCCACTAAGAAATGCAATTCCCTCTAAATTTTAAATATTTTTTCAAGATGCGTAACTTTTCCACTATAAGAAACATGAAGTGGTAGTGTATATCACAGTTGTCTCTCCAAGAGTTCACTAGGTGTGAGAAACTTCAAAAAAATAATGGGCTCCCTTACACAACACAAGCTTCCTATTATAGATTTCACTAAGGAAAACTTGAAGCCTGGTACAAGTTCATGGGACAAGACAAGTAAACAAGTCCTTTCTGCCCTAGAAGAGTATGGCTGTTTTGTAGCAGTATATGATCATGAAGTTTCATTAGAGCTTCGTGATAAAGTTTTCAACAAGGTGGAAGAGCTGTTTGAACTCCCCACAGCTACCAAAATGCAAAACCAGGCAAGTATACCTTTGTATGGCTATGTGGGTCAAACCCCCAGTCTCCCTCTCTGTGAAAGCATGGGCATTGATGGTGCAAATACACTTGAAGGAATTCAAAAATTCACTAATATCATGTGGCCCAATGGAAATGATGATTTTAGGTATAATTCATTCTATTTTCTCATACTAACTTCTGTGTATGACTTGATGATTATTCTTAGGAACAGAACAAGTAGTCAAAGCTTTTTTTAAAAAAATCTATGTAAAGTGTGTGTCTTTATTTTTTTATTTATTTTTATTATTATTATTTTTTTTAAATTTATTTTATCGGCGAAGTGTTTACTATAATTTTTACATATAGTTTATGAGGTAGAAATAGTTTTGATAAATTAATTATTGATAAATAGAAGAAATGAATATTTTTAAGAAAGTACATCTGATAAATTTTCTCATTCACAAAACCTATTTGGTGTAGCTTATAGGGCATGCTTATATATTATTTCATTTTTTATTTTATTTTGAGAGCTTTTGCTAAAGTGTTTGATGTATCTTCTACATACAAATAAAATAAAAATAACTTAAATAAGTTTTAAAAAAGATAATTTTTGGGATGAGAGAAGGAGGATATTCTTAACTTATACTTTTTTATTGTTAATTTTTAACTTGGGCATTTTTGACCGTCCTCAAGACTTGGACGTCATCGTTTAAACACTCGATGATTATCCATGTTTGTGTTCGTCCTGAGTTCTCAGAGGTCTCGGCCACGCGGTTTGCCTCAAAACCTCTTGACTTGCCTGTTTTGTGTTTGGTTTTGCACCAAACACTTGTTGTTTTGCTTCTAAGGGTAGGGAATGGCTTGGCCACCGGTTATGTTTTGTTTCCACCGGCCATTGGTAATGGGCGGCCGGCACTATTTATGGTCGGCCGACCATTGTTTTGGTCAATTTTTCATTTTTGGCTGGCCGATCACTGTTCATCTCCTCGCTCCTAAAAGGTTCCAAGAAGTTCCAGAGCTCTGAGATTAGGGTTAGAGGATTGTGTATCTATTCTATCTCTATATCTCCCTCTCCTTCCATTTTGTGTGTGTTTAAGGTGTTTTGTTCATAGTTTTGCATACAAACACCTAGTGCTATACTTTCCTTTAGCTACTGAGGTACTAAGGAGTTATTTTCAGAGTTCTTAAGTTGATTTAAGCTTGGAGAGGCTGCTGGAGCATTGTTCTTGAAAGAGGTCTTCAAGGATAAGAATTTTACCCCTTTATTCCCCATTTTGCATAGGCTTTTAGCCATCCTTACATCTGTTTTCAGGCTTAGTGTATAACTAGTAAAAGTTCTGTTTTTACTTGCTTTTGATAGTTGTTTAAGGTCTTTTTGAGGTTTGGGGTTGTTTGACCCCTCTTAGGCTTTGTTTGGCCTCATTTTTATGCATTTTTTGTGAGCTCCGGGACCACCTTGTTTAGGCCTCCTCACCACTGAAATCTTAAGGGATTTCAGTGGTGGGGAGGGTGCCTTAAGGTCCTAAGAAGGAGAGGGCCATCCCCTCTCCTTATTGTCTTCATTACTTGCATTTTTGGCCTTACAAAGGGGCCTATATTTGCACACTTCTTGAGCTCGGTTCAAGCATTTTTCAGTGGGTTTTAGGACCCCCATAAGCCATTTCCAGAGTTGTTTTGGTCATATTGAGTGTCCCTCTTGCATGTGCTTAATAACTCCTTGCATGGCCCTCTAAAGTAACTCATCATTTTTGCATGCCATGGTTGCGTATCAGTGGTTATTTGGGCCTATTTTCACATGTTTTATTCACTAATTTTTGATGGTTTGGTGAGATTCCATGTGTATCATACACTTGCTTTGTATTCCTCTATTTTGCCCAGAAATGCATCTTGCCTTTGGACCACCATGCTTGCATATTTTAGCTTAGCTTTGTGAAGTTTTTGGTCATGTTTTAACATGCTTAAGGTCTGTCTTGGGTCTTTAGATTCACATTTTCCATGTTTAGTATAGCCCCTTTGCATTTTGGCTTGTTGGCCTTAAGTGTGTGAGTATGTAGCATGCTTTATTTGCTTTGTTTTATTGGTTTGGCACCATTTGTAGCATCATTTCAGTCCCTTTGACATGCTTGTATGCTTGCCTTGGACACCTCTTTAATGCTTTGAAAGTTTGTGTAGCATGCTCCATGTTTTGGCATTTGTGCATGCCTTTAAATTTAGGTCATTTGGATGCCATCTAAGTGATCTTTAGGCCTTGTCTTAATATGCTAAAATTCTGTTTTTAGTCATTTAATTCATGCCATGTGTGGTTGCACTAAGCGTAGTTCAATATTTCTTTGGTGGGCCTTAGGAATTAGACCATATTTGCATG